TCTTTTTTGACGAAAAAGTGCTTCCGGTGAGGTCACCGGAAGCACTTTTTCGTCAAAAAAAGATGGCAGCGCCCAGTTGATGCTGGTACCGGGCCGCGGCGCCCAGCTGATGCCGGTACCGGGCCGCGGCATCAAAAAGGTTGGGGATCACTGGTCTAGAGGACATCAATGACAATGATGACATCACAACTGTCCGCAATGTTAATCATCTGATGTTAATCATCAGTGATTATCAAGCATCAACCATCTCCCCTGATGAAATACTTGACATTTCCCACATCGGGGTTTCCCGCATTGGCCCAGAGTTCAAAAACAGAGACGGCTCTGTGGCCCCACGCTTCTGCAGGGTCATTTGCAAAAATGAATCAAGCAAACATAAATTAATTTATACCATAAATTCACTTGCCAAAAGCAGCACCAACCATAAGAACCTCTGTTCTTGCCCTGACCTAACCATACAGCAATGTGCCCGTTCCCGTGTACTCTGCACAGAACTCAAAAAACATCTAGACAATGGAGAAAAGGATCTGTACATTGACTACCGTGCTGACTGTATCAAAAGTAAGTCACACAATCCGCAACTCAGCTTTAACCTTCAACCACAAGCCTACTTCAACCAATCCACCATCACCCAAGACTAGGCACACATGCCCCTAACTACCTCAATTCCAACTACAGCTGGCCTTAAATGCAAGCTACTCAATGCAAGAAGCCATGTGAATAAAATACCTGAATTTCTCCTCTTACTAAATATGGCTAAATTCGACATCATATTTGTCTGTGAAACATGGCTCAACACATCTCTCCCTGACTCCATTACCACAGTAAGAGATTATCATGTTTACTGATCAGATCATGAAATTTGTAGAGGAGGTGGTGTTGCTATCTTCTATAAAAAGTCTTACATCTAAAAAACATCCAAATTACCCAGAAGCTTGCTCTTCCTGAGACCATCATCTGTGAAATATCCTTAAATATCACATTTCGATTCTTACTATGTTACAGAGCACCTGATTATGACATCGAACATGTAAACAAGCTAAATTCACTACTAACATGGGCAACATCTTGCCCACACGCTTTTATCTTTCTTAGTGACTTCAATCTACCTCATATTAACTGGACCCTTAACGAATGTACAACTGAACCCATACATGCAACCTTCTACAATGCTGTTACAAATCTGGGACTGGAACAACTAGTAACCAACAATACTAGACTTAACAACTGCCTCGATCTCATCTTCTGCAATAGTTTGAATTTAATTTACAGAATACAAATAAAAGAACCCTTTTCCAACAGTGACCACAACATGATTGACTTTTGTCTCAACATACATCCACACAAGTATCATCACAATGATGTAATCCCCAATTATAACTTCAAAAAAGGCAACTATGATCTTATAGACAACGATGTCTCATCCCTTGATTGGCAATCTGTATTCACTGGATGCAGTACTGTTGAAGACCATTACAACATATTTTTACTTGAAGTTAAAAGAGTCATCAAACTATATGTACCAATAACAACTCCCAAAACAAAACAAAAAACAGATTACCCATAACAATAAGGAACCTTCAATCCAAAAAGAAATTACTTTGGCGGAAAAACAAATCTGGTCACATTGCCAACTTCAAAAGTCGATACAAAAATTTATGCCACCAGATAAAGACTGAATGCACCAATTATCACATTAAAAAAGATGAAAACCTTCTAAGCACCAATTCCACCTGTGCTTTTTTACAATTTTGTAAACAACAAACTAAAAGACTCAAGGTCCATTCCACCCCTGAAAGGACCTAATGGTAAAGACTGCAACAACGACACCATTAAAGCCAACATCTTTAACACATTCTTTGGCTCAGTATTTGTAAACAGCAATGGATCATGCCTAGTATTTCCTAGCGAACCACAGACAACTACAATGATCTAATACATATCAATTTTACAGAAGACAATGTTGGAAAAGCACTACGCAATCTAAAATCATCTCTATCTATTGGACTGGACAGAATATGTGCCTACTTCTTTAAAAAGCTATCCACTGCCATAGCAGAACTTCTAAGCATAATCTTTGAAAAATCTTTCAGGACCAGCTCCTTGCCTAACCTATGGTCACAAACCACGGTCATTCCCATCTTCAAAAAGGGAGACCCCAGCCTAGTTGAAAATTACAAACCAATCTCTTTATGCTGCGTCACCTGTAAAGTCATGGAATCAATTATTAACCAATCCATTATCCTCCACTTAGAGACAAACAACCTACTCTCTAATAAACAATTTGGTTTCAGAAAAAAACCATCCTGTAATCTGCAACTCTTACACTGCAAAAACATATGGACTACACAACTTGAGCAGGGCAAAAACAATAGGCGCAATCTACATAGACTTCTGTAAAGCCTTTGATTCAGTAGTACACAACAAACTACTACTAAAACTAAAATCTTATGGTATCTCTGGACAACTGCATAACTGGATAGAAGTATCCCTGTCAAACAGACAACTGGTCAAAATTGGGAGCGTCCTATCAAATTCTGTACCTGTCAATAGTGGTGTCCCCCAAGGCAGTGTTCTAGAACCAACTCTCTTCATACTCTACATAAATGACCTCTGTGATCATATTAAGAGCAACTGTGTTCTCTTCGCTGATGATGTAAAGCTGTTCAATACCACAGACAATACTGCTACCCTTCAAAAAGATCTTGACTATGTATCAGAATGGTCAAACAAATGGCAACTTCAAATCTCAATAAATGCTCTGTCTTACATATTGGCAAAAAAAATAATCAGAAAATAAAATACAAGCTGAATAGTCAAGACCTTGTTGATGATCCAAGCTCTGTAAAGGACCTTGGAATACTCATCTCTAATGATCTAAGTGCTAGAGCCCACTGTAACTACATAACCAAAAAGGCATTAAGAGTTGTTAACCTAATCCTACGTAGCTTTTTCTCTGGTAATATCACACTACTAGAGCATACAAAACATTTGCTTGACCAATACTCGAATACAGCTCATCAGTCTAGACCCACATTACGTATCTGATATTAGCACAGTTGAAAAAGTCCAGAAATATTTCACAAGAAGAATTCTCCACTCCTCTACTCGTTGTAGAATACCTTATGCCACCATACTTGAAATTCTAGACCTAGAAAACCTTGAATTACGCCATCTTCGGTCTGATCTAAGTATGGTATATAAAATCATACATTGCAATGACTTACCTGTCAATGAATACTTCAGCTTCAACCATAACAACACAAGAGCACACAATAGATACAAACTCAAGGTTATCTGCACCAAACTTGATTGCAGGAAATATGACTTCAGCAACAGAGTGGTTAATGTCTGGAATACTCTACCTGACTCTGTGGTTTCTTCCCCAAACCCCAAAAACTTTAACCTTAGACTGTCTACTATTGATCTCACCCCTTTCCTAAGAGGTCTGTAGGGGGCGTGCATAAGTGCACCAACATGCCTATCATCCCTGTCCTATTCTTTCTTTTATTTTTCTTATATGTACCCATTTCATGCATTCATAACTATGTATATATTTATACCTATTATCTTATAAGTAATTGACAAATCAAATAAACTAAACTAAACTACCAATGGCTATTGATCTTGAGGCCCACACTTTACTCTCAAGATCACAAATATTTAAACATCAGTTTCTAGGAAGCCACACTGGAAGAGGATTGTCATCCCCATATTCTGCTTTCTTAATACATCTGATTAGAATACCACATAATGTTGGGCTACATGCATTTCTGACGTAGATTCCAAATTCACAGTACAGCAAGAACAAGAACAATTCTTTACCACTCCCAGACACTGAATTGAACTGAAGATTAAATCAATAACAACAACAATAATCTGAACATCTGGTTGACTATGCGATGAATAACAACAACAGTAATAATTCTTAGTTGATACCTAGGATACTGGCAGCAATCCGTATCAACCATCAGAGCCAGTCAATGATATTTGTGATACATTTTTAAATGTTCAGTTGACGGAGTTTCATGTTGAATAAATAAAAGTGTATTATAATAATACTAATACTAATAATACTAATACTAATAATACTAATCATAAATTGCACAGTCAGCCAGATGTTCAGACAGAGTTTGGCATTTTTGTCTCCCTTTAGAGAACTTACCAAGGATCTGAGATAGGCAGATCTGGATGTGTGATGGTGTTACAGATATCGTTGCAGGATGGAAGCTGTTCCTGGTAAAGCCGCCTATTACAATTGACTGATGGGGAATTTGTCAATGCCAATGATGTTCTAGTGGTGATCTGATTGTTTTGGGATTGCAAAACAAGGTATCTATTGGTACTATCCTTGCTTGCCTTTGCACAGTTGTTCTATTTCTATTTGTACATATTCGTATTTTGTTATCTGTTCCGGTTCTTTCTCTTCTCTTCTGCTGCTTCCAGGCACTGCCACATTCATTATCCAGACATTTTGTCTTTTTTAACAACAATTGTTAAGTCCAGGGTATTATGTGGCAGGTGCCTGCCTATTTGAATAGCAATTTAACTTCTTCATTTTCTATGACTTTTTCTATTTTATGGTCCCACCAGTTCTTGCTTGAAAGTATTATTATTTCTTTTTCATTATTAGTTCCTGGTCTTTCCCACTAATTTTTCATTTTTCCCCCAAATCTTTTTATTATATAAAAATTACATTCATGGTTTTTTTTTTTAACTTTGAAATTAAATTACTTTTTTAAAGTGTATTTTTCAGTTTATCAACTCAGTCTAAGAACAAGTTCTTTTTAAAAAAACCCTCTAAATTCTGATTCTAAAATGACAGTTTGATATTTACACTTCACTATTCATATTGGCCTCTAAATTGTCAAAGTGTTTCAAAGCATTATAATAATAACATAATAATAAATAGCTAGTTTACACTGCTTTTGGAGAATTAAATAATTTTCTTAATGTATTCTTACTGTGACATAAATATTAATATCCCACACTCCTTTCAGCAACTTTATTTCTTTGCGACATTCTTTTATTTGTTTATACTCTGGAATAGTCACTTCAAAAAGGTTGGCAGTTTCATGTAGGTGCAACATTTCTTCTTCCATTCTTTCTAGTTCCTGATTTGCCTGTACAGGGGAAAATATTAGAATATTCTATTTGTAATTCAAAGCAGTATATTCTGAAGGCAAAGGAATTACATAGTATAGATATTCTATGGGTATTACTTTTAAGTAGTCCATATTTCATTTTATTTTAGTTCCAAAAGACAAACAAGATTCATTTATAAGCAAAATATTCAGCTGCATGGATCAAATTCACCGAAACACCAAATTTCCTTCATTTAAATTTCTACCTCTTTAGAATTAAACAGATGTAGCCATATATCAATGCACCCTAGCATTTGTACATATAGTGTAGCTGAAGATATACATTTAAATTATAGTTAAAATCACTATTTTTATTAAGTTATTCACTTAACTAGAATGAAAAAATTATTATTATTTTACATAAGACTATCTAAGCATCTTTTGCCTACTGATGCCATCCAGGTCTGTTGCAAAATAGCTTTAAGATTTCTGGGAGGTGTTTTTCAACATATCTGCATTAGATTAAGAGAAGCTGCTTTGATTTATGATTAAAAATTGAAGATCCAATTGGTCAGTTAGAAAATTATGTTCAATTTAACATAACTTTCAGCTAATACTTTATAAACCATGTACAGAAATCACAAACAGTTTTTCAGAAAAGGAAGCATTTTTTAAAAAATACAGTCATACTGTCCTCTTTTTAGAGTACCTTCAGGGAAACAATCACACACATTTTAAGCTGCCCAATTTATATAATATAGCACTTATCAAGCTCAACAGAAAAAAAATAATGTTCTGTAGAAATTGCACAATATGTAAATCGAAATCTCCATTTTGTAATGAGAGATTATCAGCATCACATGCACCTTTAATATTTCTCCATTACCTTATCAAGAAGTGCATATGGGTTTTGGGCATCAAAATGAAAAGGAGCATCTGCTCTAAATCTTTCTCTGAATCCTATCTGCTTTCCCTGTTGAAAGAAAGCAATAAATTTATGTCAACAATCTCATCCTCATAAAAGTATGTCTGTGGGTGTTGCTTTAAAAATAATTTCAGCTTACATCAAAAGCAGCACATTTTTTTCTGAGAATAGTGACCTCAGAAGTCAAAAAAGGAACCACTTCGTGCTTTACAGACACAGCAAGTTTTTTGGTGGCATTCCATTTTTCAGGCAGTTCCTAAAAGATCAAAGAACAAACCATATAAAGACAGCTTAGTTAGATTCCCTTTTCACATTCTGCCAACTGCATGGGGGATACTCACAGGCTGTTCCCACAAGCTGGGGTACTTTGCCATAAATATCAAGATGACAGGTACATAAAGCATATAAAACTGCCTGGCTCAAACTCAACTACAATTAATGTTAATTCTTCACTTGTTTTGAAAATTCATTTAAAAACAAGTCACAACACCTTCAATATAGGAAGAGGGGATAACTGACAAATAATGCTAATCTTCCCCTCACTTACACTGAAAGAAAAGGAGACTACACAATATATTAGAAATTAAATGATGGAAAATGTGATCACATATTGTGGCTTGCGTATTTTCCTGAACCTCTAAATTTGAATGGAAACAACAACAAACAGAAGTAAAAATTAATATGGTTTCCAGGAGAAGAAAATGAAAAATTGTGAAAAGGTAATACGCTACTTCTTAAAAAATAAAAACAATCCTTTAAAATGTCAAAAAAATACTCTCATCTATTGGTATGTGATATTTCTATATGACCATCTTGGCAATTAAATAATATTAAAAGTACAATTCAATAAGATCTTTTTTCTGCATCTCAGTAATATTTTGGAAGACTGAACATTTGGTTCAAAGAAATATAAAGCTTTTAATTGGAATCAAAAATAGAAATTTCAGGATACCTCTACTTGAACGTAAATATGATCTGGCATCTTCTGCCCATAGTTTTCCAAGAGTACAATGGTATCCTTTAGAGGTTCAAAAAGGCCATCAGTAGCTGACTGTCTATCCCTGACAGCCAAGAGGTGAAACATAATGTCTATGAGTCCATTATAGTCTATTTCTGACAACTGTTTTTGGAGTCCAAAGTTTGTCATTTTAATGAACTCTTCTAGGTCAGCTAGGCTATAAGAAGAAAAGAAAGAGATAAATTTGCAGTAGTTGGTTTTTTTTCCACATATGCATGTCTTTTCAACTATTTTGGTTAATTGCTTGTAAGCAGAAAAATTTTGGGGGTGCCTTTGAGTCACTTTTGTCTCAAAAGATCAAGTCTGCTTTCTTGGCAGCATGTTTGGAAATAATTTGACATTACCATTTCTTCCTAGGGTGGAGAGCAAAGAGCTAATCCAAACTCACCTAGCTGGCTTTGAATCTTCAAGAGTAAATTGCACTTGCACAAAATGTCAAACTGGCAGCACATGGGCTGGATGCATCACATGCAGACCACGCCCATCCCAGCTCCATGAACGGGGAAAACATTGCAAAACCTCATGTAACTGCAACGTAACGCAGAGAGTTTGACACCCAAGCTTAAGGTTATAAACATTATTACACCTTGGGATGTATCCTATTATACCACAAGTTGGAGAATATATCTTCTTCTATATTTTTAAAATGGCTGGTGTGGGAAAAGAAATATATGGGACCCAGAAAATTTAATTATTTTTGAATAGTTAGCCAAATTATTCTCTTTTATTTAATTTTTAATTGATTTTAATTAATTTTTATTTAATATTTTCTCCTATTACATTAAAATTATCATATAATGGCAAGTCCTGAAAAGATTTAGAAAAAGGTAGTCTTCATTCGGTGACCACAATTGGAACTGGCAACTTAGTTGCTAAGTGAAGTGGTCACTAAGGGACTGAGTTTATAATCTTAGTTCAGCTTTGTTTTTGTTTTTTTTGCTTTACAGAACTGCAAAGTTAGTACATGTGATAATTGTTCTTAAAGTCACTTTTTCATCATGTGAACAGTTAGTAAATGAGGCAGTTACTAAACAAGGAGTACCTATGCAAGGCTTTGAGCAATCCTGTTAAACAGCCCAAGCTTAAAAGGTTCACAAGGATGAAACTAGAATTGGAACTTACATCTCTATTTTCCCTTGAATTTAACAAGTTAACTTTTCACTTACATGCTCCAACACGTGCCACCCCAGCCTCTAAATAGAATAACTTTACCAAAACATATTTTACCTATCAGTGACAAATTTCACAAGGTATTCTTTGAACATCCAGCTCCATTTCTTAATAACATTTAGCAAACTATGTTTGAAAGGTTTCAAGTCCACTTTAAGCCAGCCTTCAAAAATTCTGAAATCTTCAAATTTGCTCATCTGAATGTAAAGATTCTCATATATGTCAATCTACAATACATAAATATTAGAAATAAGCAAGAGCTTAATTTCATATTGGAGAGTACAGAGTAAAGATTCCAAATATCAATTGAGGCAAAAATGTCCGATTCTTGCCTGTTCTTTAAACAGCTCAGCAGTTGGGTGTTGATCAGATGTGTCAACATCTGTAATTATCTCTCTTTCTTCAGTCCATACATGTCCATAGAAGAGAAATTGTTTCATAAATTCTGATCTGTCATCTACCCAGAGATATGCGTAACAGTCGAGGGAGTTTTTGAAGTTCATGGCTTCAGTAGTAACATCTGCCACTCTGTTCATAAGTTTTTCCCTGGTACTGTATAGCTCTGATATCTCACCCATATCATTCTTAAACAAAAAAGGAGAGTAAAAATTATATCCCATACTTAATATGATTAGTCCTTTCTTGAAGTACATGTGGAATATATACAATCTTGGACTTTATCTTAATTTTAATAAATATATATTACCTGGTAATGCTGTATTTCAAGGTGTGATGCCATTCTTTTCACCTGAGCAGATATTTTGAAAATATTGCTTAAAAGATCATCTATTAAATCATAAAAGCCATCACCAGCTTCTTTGTCCAGTGAAGGTCTAAATTCAATTTCTACAGCACTTAGGATCATCTGAACTTGAAATAATGGTGCTGGCTTTAAAACTTGCTCTGTGTTTTCCAAAAAGAAGTTTAAATTATACATTATGGCATTAAAAAAGCCATCAGCAATGATGTCATCAACAAACTCCAGGTAAATCTTCCAAGAATCTGAATCCGGGTCAGCTTTAAAGAGCTTTAAGTTTTCCTAAAATACACACCCAAAAATAGGTAGTTTAAGTCTACCATTGTCACAATTTCCACTGAAAAAGTTAATTAACTAGATAATTCTCAATCGTTACTAGTAAATCCCATTGATAACTGCTTATGTATTAAATGACATGAAAAATGAAGTAACTTTTTTCAATCTGAATTGATAGTCGTATTTGAATAGATTTATACATTAGCAAAAACATGTGTATAAATGGTTTGCAGAAATCAAATCAATTATCTTCTCATGAAAATTTTCATTAGATATTACCTCTACAAGTTTATGCATCCTGCAACCATCTTCTTGGAATGATATGAATTTTTTAGCAACTTTGTCTTCTTTGTCTTCTAGATTTAACAAAGCTTCTTTTCTGTTATCTTTTCTAGAAAAGAAAGGCTGCTCCATCCAATAATTCATAATTTGTTGGATAGTCTTAATATTGTCCTTTGACTTTTGAAGTCTATGTTCCAAATCATGAACTTTGGCTTTTATACACTCAATATATTCCCAGCAATTTTCTTTCTGCCAGGTAAGTTTTTCTTCTGCTTCTTTTAGCAGGTTATCAGCAGCTATCAGCTCTTTTTCAACCAGAGGGTATTCTACCTCTAAAACAGTCTGTTTAACTTTGTTGTACCATTGGACTACAAGTTCAAGATTTCCTGTATACTGTTTACAGAGAAAGAGAAAATGCAGAAATTTTAAATGTCTCCCATAAAGGCTATACCAATTTCTGTCTGATAAAAATCCAAAAGATGCTTTTTTCAAGAGTCCAGTTGCCTTGAAAAAAGCAGTTTTGGGACAACCATGACCTGGATGACTGAGAATCTCCATAGACATGTCTGATAAAAGGCTTTTGAAGGAGGTGTCACTTACACTATTGAATTGCTACTTCATTTTTGCAGTATTTCCTCCCATTGCTGAAGACTAAGTTTGTTTCTAACCATTTAACTATTTCAGCTTTAATTATATATATAATTAAAATTAGTATCATTATATGCATAACAATAATTACCCAGTATTTTTTCAAACAATTTCCTATTAGATAAAGTTTACAGCAAACAAGACAAAAAGGAACACATATTGATGGAAATAGGAAAACAGAGATAAGGGATTATAACATTTGCATATCCCTTTTATAGTAACAATGCATTTTAGAAAATTAAATATTCATGACAGAGCTAGTTTCCGTTTCAGAGCTGAAGGAATCCCTAGTTTCACCCAAAATTCAATTGATGTCAGAGAGAAATTTTATCAATCTAGCAATATTACATTAGTTGTTTTTCTCATGACAAAAGAAATGAAAAAGTTTCACTTGGCACATGGCTCTTGCCATTAAGGTATATTCCAATTTACCAGAATAGTTTCAATAGTCAGCTTTTCCTCTCATCTTTCCTTTGAGGATAAAGGCATGATGTGGTTAGAACAGATTCAATTCTATTCATGTTGTTTCAGAAATACTGCAGGAATAACTTATGAGCATGACCTGACCTATGCCATAATTGTGAAGGAAAATTTTCTCAGCCCAAAGTAATTAATTTGAATAGCTATAGGGATAAACTTCCCTGAATTTGGACATAGACATGGACATAGTTTGATCCAGCCAGCCTTCGACTGAAGTGGATCCACATGCCAGACGTTCTCCATCCCTGACCTATGCCACAATAGTGAAGGAAAGTTTTCTCAGCCCAAAGTAATGCATTTGAATACCACATTAACCAGCATGTAAACCAATTTTCTCTATCCTTTAGATTCCATGTAAATTTAAGATTCCAGATTCCATTTCCTAATCAGCATTTTTAGCACTGAAAATACTGGGACATTAAACCCTCCAATTTGGAGGACACCAAGATTGAGAAAGGCTAATATAAACATTTCCATTTCATTTGTATTAGTAAGAAAGGAAGGAAAAGAATTTAAGTAATGTAAGCTAAATATGAATAATTACAGATTTTAAAAAGTACATACCTTAGCAAATATCCCCTTTTTCTTGTATAACTCTAATGCCGAACTTGGAATATTGGGCTGATCCATAAGCAAGAGATATTTCACATCTCTTAAAATAGCTACGAGCTGAAATATATTTCAAGTTAGTTCTAAATGCTATTTATTGTTAGGTATTAATTCTGTCTATATTTCCAGAGAAAGTTTGTGATAATTTTAATTTTTATGTTTATTAAAATACTAGCTCGATACCTGTGCTTCGCTGGCTTGGGCTTAGTTTTTGGGGAGGAAAATAAGGGGAGAAAATTCTGCTTCTGCCTACCAGCATTCATCTATATTTATCTGGCTAGCGTCCTGTCAGTGTGTGAGACAGTTGAGGGCTGTTTGGAAACCGAAACAGCAAGAAGGAGTCAGCAAGGAGCCTGGGCATGGCTTAGTTCAACTGCTCTGTACTAAAACTGCTTGGTGCTGCGAAACTAAAACTGAAATTCCTCTCCTCTGCTTGTGTTTTGCATTTGGAACAGATTTCTTTCAGGTGGGGAGAGAAAGTAGAACTCCTTAGCCTCAGAACATGTTAATAATACTATATGAAATACTAATGCTCTGATGGTCAGGTTCTAAAAATCCTTTCTTAGTGAGCACCTAGAAACCAAGCGGAACATACGTGCTAAATTTCAAGTTTGTAGGCTTTACGTTTCTGGAGATTTTGTGATGATACGTGAGTGGTATTTCACTTTTATATATATAGATTTCAATTAAAATGAAATTTTATTTAGTTAATAAATGTACATCCTGTTTCTTTTTTCAAAGGCCAATAGGCTTGGATGAGAGTCCCACAATTATCTTGAATCACTTAGAATTTACTTCCTTTCGGTTATTATTGAAAGGCCTAATTTATCTAGAAAATAAAAGTGCCAATATTATTAAATGTATATAGTACTCTTTATGGATAAGCAGTCAGGATATCAATTTAATTTTTTTTTCTTCCTGTAGCAGTTCAATAAGTAATTTTAGAAAACAGATTTCCTTTATTTTTTAACATTAAGCATGCATATTTTTAAAAAAAAACAAGTTGCAATTCTATAACATTAGTCTCATTGAATTCAATAAAGTTTACTTTTTGTTTACAGTATTATTCATCAGGCGATCATATCTAGAAAATTAAAATATTCATACCATATCATATCATACTATACCTTAGGATCAAAATTCACACTAAGGAGACCATCTTTACCATTTCGCTTAATCAAAGGTTGATCTAAATTAAACAGACAAATATCATCCACCTTGGATTTCCATTTAAAATAGATCTGCTCTTCATATTGGTCAAATAATTTCAGTATTTCTATATATTTCTGATAAATTACAGCAGCTTCAGAATTTTCCAGGATTCTGAAAAGGGAGACATAATGTCACAGTAACAAAATGATCACGTCAAATAAACTTGTTGATTTATATCAGCAAACATACGCTATTTAGTGGAAATCTGAATGTAAATATAACTCCATGAGTAGTTTGCAGTATGTATTTAGCTATTCCACTTGAGTCTGGCTCAAGATATTTGAAAACATCTTGAAAAAGTAAGAATTGTATCATCTTCTCACCTTTGTTTCCATTGAGTCATCGAGTCTTACTTCAACACAATGTCCTCTATCACAGTGTTTCTCAACCTTGGCAACTTTAAGATGTATGAACTCCCATAATTCCCCAACCAGCCTGAATATTTCCTATTGCCGAAGAGATTTACTTACTGTTGGGGAACAAATGAGAAGTTTGACCAAAATGACAATATGCGGGCTTTAATTTCTTGAGACCATTTAAGGTTTCCTGAAGTAGATGACATGTTTTTGTTTATGATTTCATTCCCCTCTTCCTCCTGTAATTATTAAATGACAGGTGGGGAGTCTGCAAAAAGATATCTTGTGAGAAATGTAAATGGAATAGCTTGCTCTTAAACTGCCCCATACCTGTTTAATGTGTTCATCATACAAGTATTTACAATTTCTCAACTCTTCATCAAACATCTGTAGCAAGATCTTATAATTTGCGCTGAACATTTCTACAATAATTGGTTTCTCCAGAAAAGATCCAAGAATGGTTATAAGCTGTATAAATAAAGGACATGATTATGTCAACCTTCCTTTTTTCCAGTTTGGAGAGAATGGTATCAAAATATCATACAAGGAAGTTGGAACACAAGAGGACACTGTTCACATTCCACATTTGTCTTCAGTTTAAGGAACTGTGCTTAATTAAACTAAGAATGGCACACTCATCTTTGAGTCAGTCTTGGTTCCTGGGAATTGTTAGGACTAGTCTTGCAGTTTTCCTAGCAAGATTTTGAAAATGTATTGCCTGCTTCCTAGAATTAGTTGAGAGTGACTGGCCCATGGTCACCCAGCTGGGCCCAAGGTAGGACTAGAACTCACAGTGCCTGTTGCCTATGCTTTGAATTTAACTGCTAGATATCAAATATAAAATTATTATATTTTCCTCCTAAATTACATTTCTACCTAAAACACTAATAACTTAAAAGAAAAAAATTGTTCAAAAATAGAAATTTTTAATTATTTTTTCTATTTTTTAAAACTATTAGCAGCAGTAGCTCCCTGGAAATTTATTTATTTATCACACCTCACAGAATGTGACCCCATATAGAAAACAATAAAAACAGATAATAAAAACCAACAATTAAAGGCATTCTATAACCTGAATCATTTTAAAGATAAAGAGATAAAATACCAAGATTTTCTTTCATATGCTTTATGTCAACAGAAGTAATACATTCATATTCTGAATGCTTCATAGCATTGTTAAAGTGTATAGCCAGCATTAATGAACTTATTTACAAATATCTTCTCATAAAAATAGGCTTAATAAGTTAAATATAGCAACCGCTTGCTTCAAAATATTCTCGCGTACAAAATCAATAGCAGAAAAGGTTATTTTTATGTTGAAAAATATGAAGTGGCTGTCAAGATATCAAACATCAGACTGGAACTGCTAAATTTAATTCTCTCTATACTCACAAGCTTGGAATGTATTATTATGTATAGATATTGAAATACTGTATTGAATAACAATAGATTCTCAAGACATTTTGAGTAGCTAAAAAGGACACAGGTAGTCCTCGTTTTATGATTATAGTTGAGCCCAAAATTTCTGACACTAAGTTAAGACAGTTGTTAAATGAGTTTTAGTCTATTTTATGACCTTGCTTGCAACAGTTGTAGTAATATGGTTATTAGATGGATCTGGCTTCCTCATTGACTTTACTTGTCAGAAAGTGGCAAAAGGTGATCACAGTGATTTTGGGACACTTCAACCATCATAAATAGCAAGCATTTGAATTTTGTTCAAGTGACCATGGAGATGCTACAATGATCATAAGTGTAAAAAACAGTAAGTCATCTTTTCAGTGCTGTTGTAACTTTGAACAGTCACTAAACAAATGATTTTAAGTTGATGACTATCTGTATTCAAATAATTTGTTCTGAAGGAGGAGGAACCTGAGATGTCAACCTAGCAATACACATTTACAGCAGATCCACTCAGTTTTATTATTTAATTATATAATTAGCTTTTTAGTACTTTTACTGGACTTATTTTTACTTAACTAACTTTGGATGAGACGATAGTAAAGACAAATACACAGATAATGGATTTTGCTTGGAAATATTAGCTATGGGGAAAAGAAAGAAACATCATGGTGTTAGCTTGGACTATCTCCCTCCTTTAAACTCTGCAAAACACCCAAGAATTGAGGAGCACTTCACAGGAAAGAGAACTGCAAGTAAAACAAATTCTCCCCCCATGCCTAACAAATTTGAAGCATTGGAATGGGATCTCCAAATAGAGCTGACAGACGAACAATTATTAGACCATTCCTTATTTCTTGGGGAAGAGCAAAATGATAGCCAGTCACCACCACAAGTAACCAACCCATAAGACTTGAAATGAACACAAAAATAAAAAGAATCAGAACATAGGGAGGCTACCATGGGAAAATTCAACTGAGTTTATGGAAAAATAATGCCTCCTCAGAGCACAAACTATTCTCAATATTTGAGTAGCTTACAGCCATAAAACCTGAATTGGAGACATTGAAAAAGATGTAGCTGTTATTCTTCTAAAACAAGGAGCCTCTTCTCCCACAAAAGCCTCTGTAACAAGACACAGTCAAATCTCCCACTTTGGGCAAGTGGCTAATACGCAGCAAAGAGCAAAAGTAATAGTTAAAGAACTTGTCAAAAAGCTACAGGTCTCTTTAAGAATAACTCACTATCTTCTGATAAAGCAAAGAGAGGGGAACTTGTTAAAGATTTCTTGGAAGCCAGCAAAGTATCCTCCATCAAATTAAATCGTTCATTACAAACACAACAGATCGCTCTCAGAATTTGCATGAACAGACTTAACGTTGGATGTTGGAATACCAGGAGACCAATCCTAGCTTCCTTAGATCAGCTTCTTCACTGCCAAGGTGGGCAGATTGATTTGTGTGCTGTCGAATGGCTCCCAGACGTCCCAAATTGGAAGCAGATACTCCTGTCATTTAAGCAATCTGCCATCCCTTTGTTGCTATTCAAGAGCATATCTAGTTTCCTTTCAAATTTTTCATACCAGAGTCTTTTGTGATGAAAAGGTTAAACCTTTAATAGCTAATATGCTAGCTCCCAAGATCACTGCTTCTTCACTCCCAACCTTGAGAGAGTCAGTCAGCTGTTCTCAACAAAGAAGCTGGCCTTATAAATGCTTTTGGCTCCTTACTAAGAAAAGAACAGGACAATAAACTAGAAAATCTGAAGAAAACCTTGTTGGTTACAATTGCCACATCTGATTCACTTATAGATTTTGTATCTCCAAACATAGAGGTTCTCATTTTCCCTTCGGCAAATAATGGGTTACCTAAAAATGGCCCTATAAAAAAATGAAATCTGAAACCTGTTGAGCCAGAAGAGGTTCCTGCAGATAAGGAGAAATTATTATTTTCATTGAGATATTCCATTGGCACTCCAGCAATTAATTGGGAGCTGAGCAGCTCCTTGCCAACCTCAATCACACAGAGCCAGATGCATCTCTTTGCCCAACAGTTCTGCAAAAGCCCTTCACAAGGCAAGCATTTTAAAATAGTGTCAATGTCATCCACTCTGAAGAAAACCCCCAAGAACTGATGCAGGAAGTATATGAGTCAAGTTATCAGAGGAGGTCACAATTGCTTCTGATGACCTTCTAGCCCAATATAATAACCTCACAGCTGCTGCTTCTTGTCAAAAATCATATCTTCTGATGGGCCTCACATAACTATCCTCTTTCCCTTCTAACTTGGAATATTGCTGGCTGGTCAGTCCAATCAAAAGGCCAACTTTTTTTTTTTTACTATATATCATAATTTGATGTCTTCTTCCTACATAAAATCTGACTCTCTTAGAGGTGGAGTTAGATAGCTAGCGAGTTAACACTATTCCACCTTCCCCAAACAAGGCAGGTGCAAGGTCTAAAGATGGTATAGTGGCATTAGTTAGTTTAAATATGTCTCACTGCCTTCTTTACAGCCATGGATTCATTTTGCATTTTATATTACCATTTGTACTACTCCATTACTTAGGTTTGGAACTTCTTATAATAGTATTTTATTTGGATTTATTTTAATATATTTGTCCTTAATTATTTTTAGATTCTGTAACACATTTTTCTGTAGAATTATTTAATAACTCTATTATATATATTTTTGCATTAGATCATAAGTATGTAATAATTTGATTTAAATTTGATTTGTTTATTTCATCAGTACTGCAGATTAGAAGCTGGCTGAACTGCTTCCAGATCTATTGAACTAATGTTTTTCCACACCATTTTGTTTATCCCAGCCACTGGTTTCAATAGGAAGGGAAATAACACAGTTGGCATAGATTATTTCTATTCTGCAGGTGCATGCTGACATACATAACCAATATTAGCCACAGTGATGTGCAAAGTCCTGTTTTTGATAAAGATATTTATCAATCTTTAACTGGTAGCTTATCTTATCTTAGTAATTGGTCAAGGCATACAGTGTTAACCTATTAGCCTGGTTTAGTGCTGAGCCTACTGAAAGGCACTGGCAAGCTGCTAAGCATGTATTGAGATATCTTAAACAAAAAATGCATTATGCATTATATTTAGACCCTAAGGATGAACTAAGTTTAACTGCATATGCCGATGCAAGTTTCGCTACAGACGTATCTATACGTAAATCAACGACAGGTACTGTAGTGTTATTAGGAAAGGTGTTAATTGGATGGCGGTCTATTCAACAAACATCTAAGTTTATTAACAATGGAGGCTGAATTCTCATGTTTGTCATTATTATGTACAGATTTAGTTTGTTATAAACAACTATTGATAGATATGGAAATTAATGTAAAGGAACCTATTGTTGTATATGAAGACAACCAATCAGAAATTCAGATGGCTTCCAATCTCGCTGTAAAGACAAGATCAAAACACACTGTTCTAAGATATCTAAATGTGAGACAATGTGTTCAAAGTAAAATGATTAAACTGGAGTACTGCATGTCAGAAAATAACAGTGCAGATCATTTTCCGAAAGCCCAAGGCACAGTAAAACATAAGGCTTGCTGTGAATAATATGGACTTAAACTGTAAGGTTTTATATATTGTCCTACCCAAAGGGGAGAATGTTAGGAATGATAGTCACCTAACAGTTGGGTTGGAAATATATAAACCAGGATAGTAATTTAATACTGTATCTTTAAGAGAATGCTGTAAGTGTGATTGGCTGAGGTTCCTCCAACGGCCCTAAGATGGAGCCAGAAACCTGGTTTATTTCTTCTTGCATTTCCTGTTTTGCTGTTTTGCCTGATCATCATTCTGTTTGGATTGCTGTGAGTCTTGCAACTGTTAGCAAACTCCGTTTACTGAACTTTGTTTATGATACTTGACTTCGTTTTTGGATTATCCCTGGACTGATACTAACTGCTTTAACCATGTATGATTTGGACTGTTTGTTGGACTTTGTTTACCCATTTACTGGAAGTAAAACCTACATTTTACTGTTCAGTGTATCTGTATGCTGGTCGTGTGTTATTCAACATCACTCTTACTACATTTCCCTGAGTGCAATCATTCTCCTAACGGGGAATACCTCAACAACCCCTTTTAAGTCAGAAAGTAAACAATACAGCAAATGATTGACAACTTTTTTCCATACGTTGTCAATACAACAAATGGGAAATGTTCACTTAAATATATGTAGAGGATAGTTTTCATGCCCAGCTGTATCATGAAGCAGAGTGCAATGATTTTAGGGAACATGTATTGAAGGATATATGGAAGACTCTTCCGTCATTAAATTAGTTTTTGCCTCCTAGTACAGAGTATATCTTACGTTCACTGCTGAAAATTCAATTAAGTCTACAAGAAGAAGTACTTTATCATTTACCTGAGTTAATTCTTTCTTGGATTATTCTTGACATTTCTTTTGTTTAAATGTTGCTGCCATACTAATTAATTATTGCAAAAATACACCCAATACATTTTCATGTTTACATTTTTTCAAAGTATATTATCTGTATTGTTGTGTGTGTGTGTATGTATTTGTGTGTAAAATAATATAATATAATACAATATAAATATAATATAAATCTGACAGTCAAAAGTATGACATTCACTTATTATGCTGCGTATAACTACCTTAAATGCTGACTCCAAACCTGAACAATCAAGAAATGCCACACAAAAAATTGCTCCAAGACGCCTTTCAAATTCCAAATTTTTGTGTTTAAAATCAGAGTAGTCTTCTTCAAATTCCTATAGAAGGCAAAATCCATGGCAAATAGGTTTAAGTTTTTTTTTTTTAAAGAATTGTATTATGTAATGTAAAGGATGTAAAGAAATACTATTAAATCAAAAAGTTAGTGCTCACTTGCTAAGGATTCTGTTTCCTTTAGCTTTCTACCAAAGAAGAATAGAGGAGAATTGGCAGACAAAGGGAGAATAAAGGTGTTTGTAATGCTCTTATCATTTTCACGAGACAGTAAGAACAGTATACAAAAAGCCAGGCTTGCCAAAGGCCTTAAAATATTTGTGCTACACTGATCTTTTCACATAAAGGAAAAAGCTGTGCTTGGCAATCATTTATCTAACTATAGTGTAGTATTTTGGAACGCCATGTATTGAGTTTCTCTTAAAAGAAACAGGAGGATCAACAGGCCAAATTCAACAGGCCAGGCTTGTTAAATGTTAAATAAAGCAAAGTACATCAACATCTGAAAATGGCTTTCCTAACATCAAATCTACAAGCAAAAATAACTTAGCAGTATTCTTGATATACTGTATACCTGAATTACATCTGAGCAGTTTTTCTTGGAGAAATAACCAGAACTAGCCAAGCAGTGATAAACTTTGCTTATCTTTCTGTATAAAGTTATTTTCCAGCAAGTTTTATCAAGCTTTATTATCTGATCTTCTAATTTTAAGTTGTAGCAGCCATCCTTATGTTCAGTTATATTACCTTTTAATCAAACAAGTAGCCTAGGAGTAATTGTGCTATATTATATCAAATCAATAAATTCTACTAAACAGCACTTCCTTAAAAAAATCTGAATGTATTGTAAAATTGCTGTGATTTGCTGATAAAAGAACAGCAGCATCAAAAGCTTTGGATCACAGCAGTGATTTTCCTGAATATATAAATACAGTGCAATAATTAAATTAGAGAAGAGAAAAAACAATTTCAAAGTTGCAGTACTATTTACAGATCTTTTAAAAGAGGCAAAAGAGAATACTGGGACATCACGAAGAGGCTTGTGTAGCGCAAACCTGCATTTTGGGAAGGCCATTTGCCCCCCATCAACTGGGTGCAGTCAGGTTGGCAGTCCAGTGCAGCTTGTTTGTGACTGAAATCCATTCTACTCCTATCTCTGGATTCAAGGTATGACATTTGGATAGTATAAGTCATAACATCAAGATTGTGATGGAATACTATATGTGAATTTTATGTATAATAGGAATTGGAGTTGTGGTACATGGGCTATGAAATACTTGCTCAGGGAAAATACCTCTGTTATTAAGAGAAAATGCCAGTGCAATTAAATGTTTAAGTAACCTTCCATTGTCTGAAAAATACTGGACTACAAAACAGGCATCAAACAGAGAAAGGCTGCTCTTAAATAGGTAGCAGAAATACTGATATTTAAGAAATTCAAGCTCAGCTTGGTAGGAATTTCCAAATTCAAACTTTTCACACTTTTTCTCATGTTTGGATCAGTTTTTAAATATAATCAACTTTATTTTTACAATATACTTCACAACTTGCCTTTCTTAAATTTAAAAAAATGGCACAAACAATATGCTACATGAAAGATTACCATATTGTTGTAGTCTAAAGGATCATATGTTTTCTCTTTAAAAGTGTTACAAAACTCAATAAATTCTTCATTCAATTTGCTTATGTGAGCATTTAAACATTTTCCTTTGATTCCACCAAATTCCAGTTTCTCCAACTTTTCAAACTCAAGCATAGTAACAAAAATATTCTGAAAAGATAAAAATAATCATTACAAATATGTCTGTCTAATGAGTGTATCTCCTGATACAGAAGTAGGCAATATTTTTGACCCATGTTGATTGGGTCATAAGTTGGCATAAATGTGTCATGTAGAAGGTAACTTCTAAATTTCTATTTTCTTATCTAAACTTGATTATCACAGCTTATCTTTGCATATAGGAGAGGGAAATTACAGAATAAATCAGAAAAAAGAGCATTCTTTTGAACAAAATCAAAGAACTGAGTCTGTCTTGAGAAACCAGGTTCTAATTCTCAGGCCTTAGGAAAATAAATTTTCTCCAATCCCAGTTTTACAAACTTAGATCCTGACAAATTAATATTCAGACTTTAAAATCTTCAAGGTGTCTCAAAAATATGCAGAATGTCAAATGGCAGAGTGCCAGTTTAATTGGGAACGGATTTCTGAGTAACCAATATGACATAGTCATATTCTGAAATAATGTCTTTGACACCTGCCTAGAATGCTTTGCACCTTTTCTTTGAACCTTGAATGAGACTACCATCATACTTTTTAAAATAGGTTTTTGACCAGGATCATGTGATTATATACCTGCGAGACTTCCTGGCATAAAATAGGACCATCCTGGCATCTATGATTAGATATTTCTGTGTGGGATTTGGCAGAATATAATTGCCATTACTTTGGCTTTAAGAGATTGTTCTATAATGCTGGCTTTATGGGATCAAGTCTGTCACTGACATGACTTCTCCTACAAACAGGATACAACATGTAAGGTGTATATATGCGTGATGGACTTTCTGTCATATTGTCATAATAAGGTCGATGCCTTAACATGTAGATAATATGTGAAATAAAACTGGGCAGGGGACAATCCTTGGGAAGAACTCTTTAAAATGTAAGCCAACAGACCTTTATGAACCTGTTTGGATCTTCTGCATTTTGTGTCCAGCTAAGACCTCCTTTTATTATCTTTCCTTTTGTGTGTGTGTATGTGTGTATTTGTGTGTGTGTACAATATGTCGGGAACCAATTATTTGCTCTCTGGTTCTTTTTCCCTACAAAGATGGTGCATATCATTAACTCTGGATTATATAGAAAAAACTGTTTATTTATGTATTAATTTTATTTATTCATTTGTTTGTTTGTTTGGATCCAGCCTTTAATTATTTTTACAAATAATTCAAGTTGGTAAAGATATCATGAAAGTAACATTTAATTAAAGAAAGGTGCACCCTATGCAATACTAATATTTTTGCTACTGGGTTAATGGACTTTTTCAAAAAAGCCCTGACTCTAGCATTAAAAGAAAATATATACATATGATTTAGTTAGGCACATACAAACAGATAATTAACTATAAATTTAGGAGTTGTATTTGTAAATAATTTTCTTCTTTTTGTCTGTTTCTTTCTTGCTGTTGTGTAAAAGCAGCTAAATTATCATTACAGAAAATTCCACATAATTTTTCCAGAAATATACTCCAACTGTAATTTTAGTGTAGAGTGATAAATAAATACCTCTATTTTCTCCAGGCGATTTAAAAACATGTCAAATCTGGAAAATACCATCTGTGGTTGAAAATCCCAAAATCTAACTTCTTGACTGCTAGTGAAATAAGTTGCCATTTGTTTTCTTTCATTAAAAAAGGCATCCTTAAAACTTCTTAAAGTATTAAGAGCACTTTGTACTTGTTCCAAAGTTTCTTCTGCTTCCCTTTTCATAATATCTTCTGGAGAAAGATACAATGTAGCCTGGGGGGGAGAATAATACAATCAGATGTTTTAAAATATAAATGGCTAATGCAACAATGCACTATTATTCATATATTTCTTAAAATACCTGGTTATAAAGGAAGGTTCTAAATTCTTCCTAAAATTGGAGTGATGTTTAGATATCTATCACAAAAAAGTGACGAAAATATATTTCAGTTTCGTCTTGCCAGTCTGAGTCTTTCATGCTTGCCACCCTTATGTTTCTCATCATTGGAGCAAGTTCCTAAATCACAGGGTTTGTATTGTAATGCACATTTCTTAACTTTCCCAAACTTGCTTGGGTTTATGAAGTGGAGACTGGATACAACTCTTAAACAAGTAGATTTTATATATTGGCAATAATATAGGGGAAAGCCCTTTTCTAGGTGCTGTACAGATGGGTCCCTAAAAGCAAGGATATATTTAAGTAAACCTCCTTCCCTAACTTTAATCCTCAGGTACTTTCATATAAAAAAATAGGGTGCATTGCATTCAATTTATTCTGGTATTTAAAACGTTACTACCTGATGAATGAACAGATTGCAGAATTCCTGCAGTAGAGATATGATTCGTGCTGGCATGTTGTAAAATTTGGAATTACTCCAGATTAGGCAGATGGTATGAAACAGAGGACGAATCAAAATATGTATCCCTGGAAATTCGGTCTCTTGAAAAAATTGAATATGACTTTCTAAAGTTTTAAGATATAATTCAATATCTTGGGCTTCAATAAGTGCTGTAGAAAAAAAGGAGGATTAAAACGTCCTTATAATGTATGTGCCTAATACAATCTACAGTATATAGTGTATTTAGGCATGCTCACTTTTAAAAGAACATGATGATCTTCTAAGGATAGTAATCAACTGGGTCATAGATGCTACCCATAGACCATTACAGACCCTGTTCTACCTGTCTCCAGTAACATAAGGAGACAGAAAATAAAATTGTCTGCATCCTGCTAAGCTGGCATCATAAAGACTATCCTATGGAGCAACCACAGAATAACTACAGTATTCTGCCTTCTGATATATGCAAGTTTGGTAGTTGGCCCACTTGCTTGGCAAATGACAATGTATTCAACATTCTAAATGCAGTTTTCCTGACAAAAGGTTAACTTGCAACTATCAATTAGTACAGGGTTGTCAAACTCAATTTCATTGAGGGCCACATCAGGTTTGTGTTTGATCTTGGGGGCTGCGTGGCCAGGGGGAGTGCGTGGCCAGGGGGCATGACCAGCTTGACGTCACTCTTTGAGGCTCCATTTTTGACCACGACGGTTTCCTGCAGCCCTCTGCCTCTGAAAAAGGAGCACACGGCCTCCCCAGGCCTCCATTTTCACTGGCAGAGGGTTGCAGGAGGCAATTGAAGCCAAAAACAGAGCCTGGGTGGGCCTTGTGGAGCCTCCCTGAGCTCTGTTTTCGCTGGCAGAGGCACCAAGGGATGGTCCCTTGCTGTTTCCAGGGCAGTCCCATGGGCCAGATCTAAGCACTTTGTGGGCTGGATCCAGCCCCCGAGCTTTGAGTTTGACACCCCTGAATTAGTGTAAATCTTTTTTCAAATTGTAAAAAAAAAAAAAAAAGACAGTGATGTAATGTTCTGCCTAATAAATGCAATAGTTCTTTTGGAGCACACTACCTTACAAAAATAACATGTATTTTAATGATTTTCCATTGACATTTCATTTAATCAATATGTAAAAAGGAGAAAAACATTTTAAAACCATTTTTTATGTTAGACATAGATTATCTGCAAGTAACAGCTTCAAAATAATGTTTACAAGAAACACCATATGTTAATTTAATTTAATTGTATATAAGAAAATATCTAAATGTAACATAGTGAAGTATGGCATATTGTGTAAGACTCACTTAATGAGAGTATCTCCCAAAACAATATTTTAATGCAAAATTATTGTGAAACAGTAAAAAATATATTTGATACATTTTATTCATTTATATAAAATATAAATTTATTTCAAAGAAACCTTACCATTTTCTACATCCTTATAAATATCCTGAAAAGCTGGATAATAACTGCTCTTCTTGGTTTTTAAGATTCCAATCAATTTTTGGATAATAGGGCTCTTAAGCTGGAATTTAAAAAGACCTTTAATAAATATATTCATATTTGCCACATGACATTGTGAATTTTAAAAAAAGACTGAAAAGGTCATACAATCAAGTTTCATAAACAGCCCTACACAAACGACTATTCTTAAGTGAAATAGTTGGAAAGATAAATGGCTACAAAGTCTTTTTTAATTGTTATTGCATTAATTCTTGCTCCAGCAACTCTTATTTATCAATCAATTAATTAAGCATGCAATTTCACCAGTTATAGCCCCCATGGACATAATTTATTCTATCAAAATTATTCAAGCCCTAGCATGAACCAAACAGGGGGACTTCAATCAGCTAGTGGTAACTGATTTGAGCATCCATGAGATATATGAGGAAATCTACATCCTCACTTTCATAGAGGACAATCAATTGTTTATAAGGCTATCAGAATAAAGACTAATATTCAAGGACATTTCAATAAAAATATTATCTATTTGTGCCATATTGTATGTCTGAAAGCCACTAGATGAACTGAAGCCAGCTAAGCCAAGCTACATGTTCAGGAATGTCTGGCAAGATAATGTTTCTAGCCAATTTCTAGAATGCAACCTAGAATAGTAGTTAATTGACAATATGCCATCAAGTTGGTTTTGACTCCTAGCAACCACATAAAGAGATCTTCTCCATGATGATCTATCCACAACCTGTTATTTCAAATCTATCATTACAAATGCTGAAAACTCTAGTAGCCATCCACTTATTCAACATCATAAGAAAATGGGAAAGTTATATTGTCCTTTAATAGATGTTGAGAGTCATGGTGATGCAGTGGTTAGAATGCAGGATTGCAGGCTAATTCACTGCTCACTGCCAGTTTGATTCTGACTAGCTTTAAGGTGGACTCAGCCTTCCATCCTTCCGAGGTCGGTAAAATGAGGACCCAATATGCTGACTTTGTAAACCATTTAGAGAAGTCTGTGAAACACTGTAAAGTGGTATATAAGCCTAGGTGCTAATGCTAGTGCTATGTTTTTATTTTGTATAGAACAGATAAAATGTTTGTGAATGTTGGTGTTAGTGGAACCACTTTTGAAACTACCAGGAAATCTCATTCTTTTCCTATACTTTGAGTGAATAGATCTTATTTTTGTGGCCTACTTGAAAGTCATCAAAACTGTGCTGCTACTGGTGCTGTATAACTCCTGGTGCCAATAATATAATGTTTTAATCATAATTATTTATAATGTTTATTATATATTACTGTCATTTATTATGGCTACTATTTATTAGTTGCACCTCTTGCTTTTGCACATTGCTCAGAATCACCCTGACTGAAGCAGTTTTTAAATGTATATATAATTTATTTATAAACACATTGTAAGGCTATGTTCAAATCTAAATAAGCTGCAATAAAAACAGAAAATTAATTTATAGAATACTCTCAGCCATTATTAGACTAATTTGTATCTGATGCTTCATCTGTTGGTTAGAAATTAACATATTCACTTTTTTTCCAGTATGTATTATTGAAAAACAGCAGCAAACTGTCATTGCAATAGGAGCTAGCTACCTACCTGATCATATATACACAAGAGATTGTCTTTTCTTTCTTTCCAAAACTTAAGTTCACTCTGAGGATCTGGGTGAACCTGGTTAAAAGACGATTGAGCTGTATTCCTTTCCAAAATGTCTTTTATCTGACGTGACCACTTGATAACCATTGATTCTATTTCATGAAGTGCTGACCTTGTCTGAGAATTCTGCCTGAAAAGTAGGGAGAATAAAGGATGAAATTCCATGCTTAGAGATGCTTAAAATTATACTGAAACTCATTGCACTATATTCTGGCTGTGCTTTTATTATTTGGTTCTGATCAGATAACAGATGGTACTGCTTAACAGGATTTGACAAATTACATGTTTAACTGACAAATTAAGCAATTTACAATGTTTTCTTTTAAAAAGTTCACTGAATAAAGAGAATTTTTCTTTGCAGGGATAAATAAAATATATGTTCTGAGATGATATTAGCATTAGAAGGGCACTTTGAAAGTCAAGCTTAAAGTCAAGTTCTTCTGTTAATTAGATCTGTGATGTGGATATAAAAACTCTTCAGTCAAGCCATCCTTTCATATAACAAATGCTTCTCTTTTGTTTAATCTTAATATAGCCCTATTTTCTTTATTCTTATAAGAGCATATGAAGAAACACACTGATTTTGATCAAAGAATAATCCAAACAGGAATTCTGCCACAGTGGCTAAGCAAAGGGCACATTCCTACTCGTGTAACCAAAAACTGGCAATGAGAAGAAGCAAATCATCTCTCATTCTAATATATGTATGTATGTATGTATGTATGTATGTATGTATGTATGTATGGCATTCAGCTTTGTTCGGGTATTTTCCCACGTCATAGTAGTTGTGCTTTTAAAGTTGTAGTGACGTTTCAGCAGAATCTCATCTGCCATCATCAGGCTTCTGTATAGTGTTCATCTGTGAGTCAGGCTTTTACAGTGGTTTCAGATTTGAATTTGGGGCAGCCTATTGCTGTGCCAGAGTGGTTTTTTCTTCATCCTGATTGGTTGAGAGTCTTGGTCTGTGTTTATTGGTCTTGGAGTTTGCTGTGTTCTGCTTGATTGGTGTTTCTAATATCTTCTGTCTGTTTTTTGGCTCTTTTTGTATCTTGATTGGCTGGCAACATTGTGTTACTTTATTGGAGGCCTTTAGTGCAGCTTGGCTCCGGGTAAATGGACGGCTATCATTAGTTAGGAAGCTAGGTTTCATCTGGGTGCCTGGATGGGGTGTGTTTGAGCTGGAGGTATCAGGGGGGATCTGTTTGTGCCCAGGTGTTTGCCTGGCTTGTGGTGTGGAGCCTGCACTCACAAAAAAAAAAATCTCCACTGAGAAGCACAGAGCAGAAGACACAAGCCTGAAGATGATGAATGAGACTTCATCGAAACATTGCCTAGATACTTCCAATCTTACGTGGGAGAAAACCTGAATAACCAAAGATCCACATACAAATACCCGTGAGAACCTCAGAATGAATATATATATGTATGTATGTATGTATGTATGTGGATCTTTGGTTATTTGGGTTTTCTCCCGCGTAAGATTGGAAGTATCTAGGCAACGTTTCGATGAAGTCTCATTCATCATCTTCAGGCTTCTGTCTTCAGCTCTGTGCTTCTCAGAGTGATGTGAGCTTGCAGCTGCTTCTTCCTTTTAACTGCTAGTGGGGGTGTGACTTGATTGGGTGGGGGCTTGGCTGTGTTCTGATTGGGTGGGGGTGTATTCTCACCCAATCAGAACACAGCCAAGCCCCCACCCAATCAAGTCACACCCCCACTAGCAGTTAAAAGGAAGAAGCAGCTGCAAGCTCACATCACTCTGAGAAGCACAGAGCTGAAGACAGAAGCCTGAAGATGATGAATGAGACTTCATCGAAACGTTGCCTAGATACTTCCAATCTTACGCGGGAGAAAACCCGAATAACCAAAGATCCACATACAAATACCCGCGAGAACCTCAGAAAACATATATATATGTATGTATGTATGTATGTATGTATGTATGTATGTATATATATATATATATATATATATATATATATAT